TCTTACTCGCAGGGGTTTCTCAATAGGCATAGGAATTTCTTCAAGGTTGACCTCGGGTAGTTCTGGTTCTGGTTCAGGTGATGGCGTTCGAATTTCTGAACTAATATTTCCTTAGCTCTCAAAACACTGTGCTCAAGGATGTAAAACCTTGACTTATTAACTTTGGATAATTAGCAAAGGAACAAGAAAAGAAAAGTACAGTAGTACAAATTGCTAACCAGGTAATCCTTTCCGTCTTCGCAATGCGTTTAGCTTCTCTCTCTTAGCACGCGCTTTCTCATCTGCTTCAGACTTATTCTTAGCTCGCATTTTCTCCGTCTCTGCTGACATTTTGTAGAGAGATTTGATCTGCTCTTGTCGCTTTTCTTCATCGGATGAGAATTTCATGTGTGAGGGACCATACACCCTTCTTTCTGTAAAGCAAAAACTATGTAGTAAACAAGTCAAGTTTGTTTTGTTTTCTTCTCTCTTGTGCAGCTTTCATAGTAGTAGAACACATGAATAGTAAATACAATAAATAAGCAAACGAATGATACAAAAAGCCAAAAATTAGAAAAAATACCTTCATCAGGCATGTAGTGCTCAACTAACGGTGTAGGCTCGATGGAGGCGGACGTGGTTGGCTGCACATCATCGTGCGACGTTGACTTAGACAGTTGATCTTCCTGTCTTTCTTTGACTTTGGCGTTAAAGTCGACAAGAAATTCGACATCCAGTCCATCACTGGTCTGGAGCGTCACCTTGCCTTCAGCAAGCTTATCATACAGTTCAGATTTCTCCTGTAAGAAGTAATGGAAAAAGATTAAGATTAGTTGATCTACGAGTTTCCATTGTAAACACAAAGATGACTTTAATGGCCTGAAGTTTCAGCTTTACTAGAAGCGGATGCGGGGTAGGTGATATTTTATCCGAAAAGATGTTTTATCGCATTATAAGACTACAAATGTACAAGTGTGACATCTACGATAGAGAAGATTTCAAATAAAAAAAAACAATTTAAAAAGTAACGTAAGTTTAAATTTGAATAAGAATTTACCTTAAAACTGTTCAAAATCTAAACGTACCTTGAGCTTCTTTCTTACTAGCTCAAGCCGTTCTTCTTCTTCTTTCCTCAAAGCAGCCTCATGTTCGTTGATGCGTCTTTTCCTTTCTTGGGCTTCTTTCTTTATTGAGACTTTCTCCTCCTTGTTGACAGCTAGAACACTCTGAAATAAATTTAGCTGGAAACATGAAAACAAAGAGGATTGTGCAAAGAATCAATCAGAAATTCTTTAGACTCAACGAATTATGCAGGTATAATTGCACAAAGGATGAAAGATGGAGTGTAAATAAACCAAGCTTCAAAATTTCAGAACTTATATTGATTGCAGATCATGTTTTTAATAAAGTCGATCAAAGGACTCACGCTCTTTCCTCCTCGATAAACTTCGCCAGTCGTGCTTTGTACGATGTCGTTCTTTTTCTTCAAGTATTCGCTTTTTAAATCGAATAATGAAGCAACTTCAGTAGTGTGCAGTTTCTTTGGCTCGTATTTCCTCTTCACAGGCTCCTCAGCTTCCTCCCCTTCAGCTAGATTCTTTGACATATCATTTGATGC